ATTGTGCTGCCACAGAACTGGATGAACCCAGCAATAGACTTCCGATCGTCCACTCGGTTCGCAAAGTCTGCATCTGCAAAAGCTTTTAGATGGTCATCCAATTCCTGCTCATTCCATTGCACTCCTCCAAATTGTAGCCCCCAGTCCTGCGTCTCCCTTAAGTAACGCAACCCACGCTTTGCTGCGCGCCAGTGCAAAATCCCAGGGTTTTCGAGAAATTGACTGCACTTACGGACCAGGTAAGCCAAATCAGGGCGTGTGCCCAACATTAAGTACACTAGGCTGCCAAATACAGCCCGGTACGGCTTTCCACTCACCAACTCCTTCTCCTCTCTCGTGGGTCGGACACATGACCTTCGACAACTTTAAGGCAGGGGTGCTTGGCACTTTGCAGCCATTGCATCTTTCCATGCCAAATCGATGTAATACTTTGTCTGCATACTTGAGCTGGTTGATGAAAATTGTCCGCTCCTTTCTATTGCGCGATATCTCCCAGCCCAGAATGTAGTGAATCGGCCCCAGGTCCTTCATCTCAAAACGCACATGATGCATCTGCTTCAGCTCCTTTATCAGCATCTTGTTCGGGGCGAAGAGAATCAAATCATCCACGTAGATGGAGATGAATACCAACTCACCGTCGACCACTTTTGCAGCCTTGCTTCTCTAGGTGGTCTTTGAGCAGGCGGAACCAAACACGGGGGGCTTGCTTTAAGCCATCCAGGCTTTTATCCAGTTTGCAAACCCAGTCCTCTTTTCCTGCTTCCTCATACCCATTTGGTTGCTCCATGTAAACTTCACCATCAATAGGGCCATTCAAGAACGCGGTCGTCACCTCCATCTGGTCGACTTCGTAGTCCCAGATTGCAGCCAGCGTCAGCAGCATCTGCAGAGTCTCTAGGCGGACCACAGGTGAGTATACTTCAAGGTAGTCAACGCCATAAACCTGCATAAAGCCCTTGACCACCAGTCGGGCTTTGAACCGCTCAATTTCCCCATTAGGTATATACTTCACGCGAAATATCCACCGGTTTCCGAGCACCTTCATACCTTTCTGGTGAGGGACCAGCTTCCACGTACCATTTTTCATTAAGGCATGGTACTCGGTATCCGCTGCTGAACGCCACTCCTCTGCGTAGTCGCTATTCATTACATCATCCAGGGTCTCTGGCTCATCAATCACACTATTTGAAAGACAACAGAAGTCCTGCCACCAATCCATTGCTTTCTCTTTTGCAATTTCAAACTGCATTTCATCACGTTTCACCTCCCAGCTTGATGAACCAGCTGACCGCTTCTTCCTAATTCAGTCTCTGTACGCAAGATGAATGGTGTCATCAAGCCACCGGGGTGGCTTCGACACTCTGCCACTCTTCGTCCGGTATTCTCTGCAGCCAGTCTTCGGTGCCTCACTGCGAGAGTCATCTCGCTGCTCAGAGACGGTTAGGTCCCCCATCGGCGAGTCACCATCAGCATCCAGCTTCTCGTTGCTAGCGGTCGTCATCCCACCAGGCGAACGAGTCGAAGACTGCTGCACTTCTGCCTCCTTATCATCTTGCTCCACAGCCGGTGTCACACACTGCCCAATGCCCGGACCATCAGACTCTGCATTTTGTGTATCACACCGTTCACAACTTCGTTTCTTTCTTTTCCCTCTTTTTCTCTTCTTCCGACGAGGCGCATTCTCCTCACTCATCCGTGCTGCTTCTGCACTTGGTTTCACTTTTTCAACAGTGCGGGCTCGTTTGCGCGAAGCTGAGATTCCATTCGCACGCGCTCTTTTTCGCGACGGTGCGGTCTCACTTGGGGCACCATCAATCTGCTGTGCATGACCTTCACTAGCAGCCTCAGCTTGCACTGCTCCTTCACTAGCCCCACCTTTTCTGCACTCTGACTTATGTCTCTCCTCAGCTTGCGCTTGCTCCAGCAAGGCCGGGATATTCTGCATCGTCGTAGCATCAATGTCCAAGTACTCCGACGTGGGGACTGTTTGCGCCTCTGTACCATCCTTCAACAGGATTCGACCAGGTTTATCTTCAAAGAAGACGGCTGTGGCTGTAGAACGCCTTGTTCGTCTTGCTGTCCAGCAACCGGTAGCCTCTCCGCTCACGAGAATAACCAACGAATACAGCTTCGTTTGCTCGTGAATCCATTTTCTTACGCTCAACTTTGTCAACGTACGCTAACACAGCACAACCGAACGTCCGAAGTCTCGAATATGCAGGTGTCTCTCTGAACCACACTGCATACGGGACTTGCATTCCTTTTCTCTTGTTCGGCACGATGTTCACACAGTACGCTGCAGTGACAGCGGCCTCCGCCCACTTCTGCTTGGGCAGTCCGAAATGCTCCAGCAAGCACCTCATCCTCTCAGTCACCGTGCGAATCATTCGTTCAGCAACCCCGTTTTGCTCTGGGATATGCTTCACAGTCAGCGAGCACTCCTTTCCGTAGTTGCGTTTGCACTTCTCACCGAGCGCCAGTAGTTCGCGAGCATTATCACAACGAAGCCCCTTCATTCGGATTTTCAATTGTGTTTTTACTCGCTCATAGTAGAACTGGAACTTTGCGTAGACGTCGGTGCGCTCTTTCATCAGGAACAGTGTCGAGAAGCGAGAAGCCTCGTAGACGAAGAGAGCAAAGTAGCGCATGCCCGAGTACGAAACCACTGGATACGGTCCCCAAACATCCACGTGTGCTCGTTCTCCAACTAGCCAGTCTCGAGTCGAACTCGGCACCGAGTGAAAACTCTTTCTCGCCATCTTGCCTATTACACATGCTTCACAGTTGAAGCCTCGCCCGACTCTCAAATCCACAGCTAACAGCGGCCAGTCTGCATGGCGAAATAGTGCGTTGAATACTGTCCGTCCTGGGTGACCAAGGTGCGTGTGCCACAGCTGCACCTTGTGGTCTCCATCAGTGGCGACAACCAATGCAGAATCCACAGGACTCTCCAGCTCCAAGCAATAAAGATTGGTTCTGCCAACATGTGCCTTCGCACTTCCTTGTTCAAACTTCACCTTTGCGAATTCATCGTCGTCAAAGTGAACTCGAACCTTCTCATCAGCAGGCAGGGTTCGTGCGGTTTGTCGACGCACTGAGAATAAACTGCATTGCAGCTCTGGTACATAACGTACTCCACGCAGTACTAACGTCCGCCGCCCACTTGTAGTCTGGATCTCCTTTTTCACAGTACCAATTCCAGCTACAGTCAACCAGATTTCACCACCAACTCGCACCAATGCACTCATGGCCGTGAACGAAATAAAATCAATTTTCAGGTTAGCCAAATGACTTGTGGCTCCCGAGTCCAAGTACCAGCACTTGCTCGCAAACATCTGCACGTTGGGAGGCTGCTTGATGAGAGCAGTAACCACGTATGCCGATTCATCACTCTCATCTCCAGTATACTGGTTCTTAGCAGCTCGTTTTCCCTGCGCTCCTTCTACCTTGGCTTGCTTCTGAGGAGGCTCTGATCCACGAGCACCACTTGGCGGATGTCTGCCTAAGCGTGGGCAGTCCAGCACTTGGTGCGATTGCTCTCCACAATGAAAACATCTCTCTCTACTGGTACCTTGTCCTCCGTGACCACGTCCAGATCCTGGGCTGCTTCCTCGGCCACCACCACGACCAAAACTACGCCCTCGACCACGTCCTCCACTGCGACCACCACGGCCACGATCAGAGCCACGGCCCCGACCACGACCTCGGCCCCGACCTCTACCAGATCCTCCAAACAAAGCTTGGTCTTCACTGCCTTCGTCCAGCTTTCGTCCTTGGCGTCGATCATACGCGAGTTCCAACGCATGCTCCAATTGATCACAGTTGGGAGGGTCATTTACATTTCGAGGCACGTGACTTGGCAAAAATGTTTCCACCACGTTATCATAGGCGTCAGGCAGTGTGCTGATCAAAATAGCAGGCTTCTCATACTCATCCAGAGGTTTACACAATAGAGCAATTCGATCAATAAATCTTCGCATTTCGCCCAATTGATCAGACATGTTGCCGTTCTCCGGGAGTCGGAGCTTCCTCAACTGTGTCATTTCAGCTGCATACTTGAAATACGTTTTTCCGACGAATCTCTGCTTCAATCTCTCCACTACACGGAACGCAGTCGGCTCAAACTTCACAGTTTTCATTATCTTGTCCGTCATTCCGTCGTAGAGTAGCTCCTTCGCGCGCGCAGAGTCCTTCTTCCACGCGTCGTGCTCGTCCTGCTTCGACTCCTCCGGCTCCTCGATGTCCTTCTCACAGTACTTCCACACGCCCTTGCGTTCCAGCTCCACCTTCATGCGCTCGAACCACACCTCGAAGTCCTTGCCATCGAACGGTGGTTGAGCAGCCTTCTCGCCCTTCATGCCCTTCTTCTTCGTATCTACACTTGTACTGTAACGGGGTTACACGAGAGTTACCCGAAGGGCTACGAAGTGGGTACACACTGTCTAACCTAAATCAGTAGGAGAATCAGTGCATGGCTTCAGAGCCACTGATTATGCATATGACTAGGGTTCACTTTGCTAGATAGTGAACCGGATACATTTACACCGTAGGCGGCTTTGCCGCAATAAAGGGAAATACATTCAGTTTGAGATTCACACAGTTCAGAGTTAAGGGTTGACTCTTGGAGTCCGTAAGGTGTACGGACTCGTACGTTCTGGTGACACGAGGCGGTCCCCAGAAAATTGCCGACGATGTGCCGTCACCTCTGTGACCTGGAGTTTGTATCGGATGCTGATTGGTGAATGACTTGGATACGGCGCGGCTGTACCCGTGTGACATGGATGGCGACTGTGGGAGAGAAGTGATTTCTCGGGATGAATCCAGCGTCTGCCGCAGATGGGCCCAACTGGCTGGAAGTGTGAATCCTGGGAGTGCACGCCCAGAATTTCAGAGAACACTCAGTCCAGCCGCGGACTTTCCCTTACGATGAGTGCCTAAAGTCTGGCGGAAAGTGTCTCTGGAGAATGTATCCCAGATACACCTCATCTTGCTGTGGCTCAGAGTGCCCCAGAGGATCAACTTACCCTGAGAATCAACCCACTACTACCATGATCATGCGCAGGAGGCCGCTAAACCCGCTAAACGTGTGGCTTTGAGGAGATACACACGAGTCTGCACTGCAGCAGACTTGTTACCCAGAGTGCCGCACGATGACGCAGAGTTCACCTCCCTGAGTGCAGGTGACCCAGAGTTGAAAGATGATTCTCTGGGTTTGGACCATAAATCCAGACTCTCTATACTGAACTGAAGTGTTTCCCAAGCCAACACCCAAGAATCCCTACAGTTCCCCAAGATTCCTCAGAATTCCCAGGATTTCAGAAGATGACCCTGAGTGTCACCTGATTCTCAGGGATTCGAGTCGGTTCGCAGTCAGTCTGCAATCAAAGTGATGCGTGACCTTGAAGAACCGTTGTGGATGCACTGACTGGATACTTTCGAGGAGTCGAGAGGGAGTCCTGCACCATACTAAACCAAGTCTAAGGACCCACAATTGGCACTTTCGACGCCGTGCGACAATGGATTCGCAAGCCGATCGCAAGATTGGACCGCTGATCCCAAGGTATACTCAAGACAAGACATTTTGACCCCAAGCATAGTGAACAGAAGATATTTGCCCGAAGAAGATATATATATATATATATATATATATATATAGAGAGAGAGAGAGAGAGAGAGAGAGAGAAGTAGCTGATAAAAGCCAAACAGAGTTCCTTTTACCCTGTACTGCGCAAGTGACTTTGGCCAAGCCTGCTGACGGAAATCCGGAGGACCCGAGACTACGACCGCGGGACGCTAAGGGCACATCAACGGCGAAGGACAGCCGTCTGTGTGGGCTCCATCAAACTCAAGTCCAGTTAGGTGGTGACCAGCGACGGCCTTGAGCTTCCTGGGGTGATCCATCTATTCCATATCCTAGTTGGGTCACTTGCTGTGCTCGTGGTAGCCCATTTCATATTATTCCAGAGGGTATTCTGGGGTGCTAGGCAGTCGCCTCCAGGATTTTGTATTGACTGCTTGTGTGAAGGGAAGGTAACTGATAGTGGTTGTATTTTCCTCCTTTATTGGAGGTGGTGCGCGTTTGTGTGAGTCTCAGGGGAGCTAGGCCCCTGAATTTCAGACTCGAGTGAGCCTAGTGTGTGTGTGACCCACCGTCCAAGGGTCCAAAAGAATAAGTGACGGCTAGTTGTAGTGTTTGTATACTCTGTATTTGTTGGTTTTATCGAGCTAGGAGGGCATTTGGGTAAGGTGTCTTCTGAGTTCCAAGTCCCAGAGTTGACTGAAATCCTGGACCCTGAATTCGTGATATTCTGGGTTTCAGGGGATCTGATTCTCTGGGTTTGCCTTTTGGTGTGGAGGTGCGTTCTGAAGTAGACGTGCGCTCCCGCACTTCTTCGAGGCTACATTTACAACCGGTGGAGTGCCGTTCCGTCGAAGACAAACGAGCCGACAGGGATTACACAAGGTACCCACGCCAACCAAGGAGTGTGATTCTCAGGGTTTAAAGCTTTGCGGCTGCGAATCTCTGGGTCTATCTTCTTGCTGTTGACTCTCAAGTCGATTCTCTGGGTCTACCCCTCGGGAACAGTCTTGGGCTGCGCTATACGAACACCCCTGGGCGACAAAGGTTTCATCGGCCTCGCCTCACTGGTATTAGAACGGACTATATTAAGCTGAGACTCTGTGAGTCTGTTACGTCTTCCTCTGATGCTAAAGCTACGGCAGCTCCGCTGCACTTGGTAGCACTTGTAGTCAATCCGACACCTGAGTCTGTACAGACTGACCCTCTGTGGAGAATGGAGCAGTTCGCTCACTTGCCCCCGAACCAGCAGGATGCGCTTAAAAAGCTTATGTCCTTGCTGGGCCCCGAGGGCGTGACGCAACTTGCGCAGCAAGGCCCCGACGCGGTGAACGCGCGTCTCGAGGCGTTTTTAAGCTACGAGAATGCTCTGCTAGAGCACCTCCAGCAGATGATGGCAACGGCCGCGGCGCCCCAAGCGCCCGCTTCGTCATTCGACGCGGGAACAAGACCCAAGCCGCTCATGTTGAGCGTGAAGACCTTCGAAGGCAAGGAGGGTGAAAGCTTGATGCTTTGGACCCGTGAGATTGAGATGGCTATGTGCTCAGCTCTACTCCGGACGGAGTCGCAGCGCGTGGCTCTAGCTATCTCGAAGCTCGGTGGGCGAGTGGGCACTAACGTCCGGGACGTCGGTCGAGGTGGCCTTCCCGACGTGGGACTAGCTGAAACAGCAATTGTCTCGAGTGTTCGCTCCGCCTAACGAGGCGTATCGCGTGCGCTCACGCTTCCTGGCTACTCGGCAGAGCAAGAAGGAGTTGGTGGACTATGTCCAAGAGTTGAGAACTCTCATTGCTGGCATGTCTACGGACCCACTGCCGGAAGTAGTCACCGTTACGGTGTTCATGGAGGGCCTTCGCACTGGCGTTGCCTGCTCCGAACCCACCCGAGCTCTTTTGAAGAGGCTGTGAGCGTCGCATTGACTGCGGAGCACAACTTTAAGTCGTCGAGACTTGGATGGAATGCGTCTTACGCTAGCGCGTCGAGTGGTCCGGAACCCATGGACCTCAGCTATGCTGAAGACGAAGAAGCCGAGCTTCGTGCTGCTGAGCAGCGTCGCAGTATCCGCATATGCTTCATCTGTGGTGACACCCGTCACCTTTGTGCTGGGTGTCCGCTGCGCCATCAGCGCCAGGCTTCGTCAAGCCGCTCTTCGAGTTCGGGCCAGGGCTCTGGTTTGTCTCGGGGAAACGAGAAGTCCCAGTAGCCTACTGGGGAATAACTAAGCTCTATTGAGCCTCGGCGAGGTGGAGGTCGACAGGACTTAGCCCCGAAGAGAGCCGTACTCTCTAACACGGAACGTGTATGCAAGCCGGCCTTGCTAGTTGTCCAAGCTGGGGTGAAGGGCTTCACCAAGCCATGGACGATTTTGATCGATTCGGGAGCGTCGGGTAACTACGCCCGGCGTTCTACGATGGACGGAAGTCAGCTTTATGCTGAGGCGCTGGTAGCGCGCGGGAGTGACATCGTCACTGTTCGTCTCGCGACGGGTGCTCGTGTCACGATGCCTAAGGTCCCTGTGGACCTGGGCGTGAAGTTTTTGGCTTTTGATAGCGTGGAACGCTGTCTGGTCTTAGACCTCGATTCGAGATATGATCTCATCCTTGGTATGGCGTGGCTGGAACGCCACGAGCCTTGTATCGATTGGAGGTCGAAGATCCTTGGTGCTACGCATTTCTCTCCTGGCGGAGCATTGGCGAGTCATGAACCCACCTCTGCTAGGAAGCGCTTCTGGCGCGAGCACTGGACCGAGTCGGCCAATGCGCTGGACATCGGAGTTTCCGAGTTGGTGGACACTGAGTGTGTTAAGAACGAGCGTTCCGAGCGTGGCTCGCGGACGGCAGGTGGAGCGGCACGAATTCCGCTGAGCGGGCGTGCGTCTGAGGGCGACGCCCTGCTGCGTGCCAGAGACGGCGCGGTCGGCACGATGCTGAAGAACAAGGGGCTTTGCCCGGATGAAGATGGTGGAGTGGCACGTAATCCACTGAGTGGAGGCTGCGGATCGTGCAGCTCTTCACTGAGTGTCAGTAAAGACACTGGGGCTCCCCTGGAGCTGAACGAGGTGGTGACACCTGGCGTCAAGACGCACGCGAAATCACGGAGCTCTTCAGGGAGGACGGTGTCCATTAAGAGGAGGCACCGCCGCAAAGCGCTGGCTGCGAGGCGCAAGGCGTCTGCGATCTCACGAGTCGAGAAGGGCGTGTCGAGCGGTGAGGCTCCACGCGAGAGCGAGCAGCTCTATACACTCGTGAATGGACTGACGGGCGACGTCGACGGAGGTATCAACCTCGACGACTTGTGACACGATGGAAAATTGGGCTTTCGTCTGGGCACATGCTGATTGGCTGAAATGGTGCGCCCGGACAATGTGGATTGCGGGACAAGTACAAGGATCTGGGACCCGGCGAAGACTCGCCCAGGATGCATATCGACCAGCGACCCTGGCCGAGTCGCTAACTCATTTTGTGACTCTGGCCGGGTGTAAGTCTGGGAGATACGATCAAGTTATACTCAAGTCAAGATGTTTCCGACCGACCTGGCAGACCGACCAAGGATGGGCAAAGATTCCGTGGAACGTTGAAGGAGGTGATTTGTACCCACGACTCTACACTGGATTTTGGCTCGGCCGGGATGTCGACGTTAACCGCGGTATAGTGAAATCAAGTGAAAAGCAGAATGCATGTCTAAGTTGCAGGAATATAGCCACAGAGTAAAAGATAAACAGAGTTCGTTTTCCCCTGAAACCCGCAAGCCGCCAAGAAGAGCGGGAAGCGCAGGACGACCAGGCACCGCGGCTAGGTACGACCGTGGTTGGATCTCTCCCTGAAGTAAGTACGCCAAGTTAGGTAAAGGGACGGGCGTACAGGCGTCTCAGGGTGATCCGCCTATTTCATTTCCTAGTTGCAGCCGTATTCCCGCCCAGAGCGAGGTCCTGCATTTCATATTATCGATTACATCTCGGGCGGAGTGAATAGCGCCGCCTGGGACTTGGCCGGAAGCCTATTGTGTGGTAGGGTATTGATATTGGTTATTTTTTCTCTCAGTACATTTGGGAGTGGTGCGCGTTTGAAGTCGCCCAGGGTTGACCAGTACCCTGGATACGGCTCGTTAGTTGACTGGAGTAGTGACCCACCGTCCGAGGGTCCGAAAGAATAAGTGACGGATATTTGTATTTGTGTATAACTCTGTATTTGTGGTTATCGTCCAGAGTCGTAGGGCCTACGTTTGGAAGTACGTATCGCACCCCGCTCGGAAACCCAACTGTGTACAACAACTCACCAACTCGGCCGAGCTCCTTGGTTCGAAGACAAACGACCCGAGAGGGATTGTCACAAGGAACACACGCCATCTCGGGTGGACATCTTCTGGGGTATCCGCCTGAGAAGTTCTAAGGGACTTTGTTCTCCCGGAACATTCGCACACTATACACCTGGGCGGAAAAGGCGTTCACCCGCCCCGCCTCACCTGCCCTCACTGTCTGCTCTCCTGGAGCTGGACGAGATGTTCTTGGCCGAGTTCGGCGAAGCTTTGAAGGCTGGAGATTTGGCTGAGGTAGTGGTCATACGACCCGAAGAAGAGTTGAACTCGTCCTCGCTTCTGGATGAAGCTATCCTGGAAGACATCAAGAAGGCGCTGAATGCGCGGAGCGGATCGGCGATCCTGAAGGACCCGTCGGATCCCCTGTATCAAGTGGTAAAGGATTACCAGGACGTGGTCTCGAAGGAGCCGCCCTCGGGGCTACCTCCGGATCGAGGTATTCGACACGAAATCGATCTCGTTCCGGGAACGAAGTACTGCGTGACGAGGCAGTGGCCCTACAGTGTGACGTCATTGACGCGTTCTTCCGTGCGAAGCATGAGGCGGGCATGGTGCGTGAGAGTAAGTCTCCACACTCTACGCCGACGTTCTGTGTCAAAGCCGAATGGCAAGTGGCGTATCGTGCATGCTTTCAACAAGCTGAATACCGCTACCATTCCGACGCAGACGCCGATTCCTCGGAAGGATGTTCTTCAGAACAACATGACAGGATGTACGATGTACAGTGCGCTCGACTTGGTTGATGGATATTACCAATTGCTCATGAGGACGAGCGACATTCCTCTCCCTGCGGTGAGTACTCCGAGCGGCATGCTCTGGGAGTGGTTGGTGATGCCCCAAGGGCTTTCGACCCCACCCGCGACGTTTAATCGTCTTGTGACGCAGCTCTTCAGGCCCCATCGGGCGTACGCGCAAACGTACTTCGATGACATCTTTGTCCACAGTCGTGCGGAGCACGGAAAGACTGATATGGAGAACCATGCGGAGCACCTGCGTGCTGTGCTCGAATGCATGCGTTAAAACAAGCTGTACGCCAACATTGACAAATGCATCTTCGGAGCGGAAGAGATCCCCTTCTTAGGGTGCTTCATCGGGAAGCGTGGCCAGAGGGCCGACCCGGTCAAGGTCAAGGTCATTGTTGACTGGCCGGTTCCCAAGAACCAGAAGGATCTTCGCAAGTGGCTTGGCTTGGCCAATTACTTGCACAAGTACAGCGAGAACTACGCTGAGATGGCTCGGCCACTCTCCAATCTCCTAAAGAAGGATGCGGAGTGGTGTTGGGACACCGAGCATCAAGATGCGTTTGCGGCAATTAAGGACAGTCTCCTTCATGCGCCTATTCTGGCTTTGCCAGACCCCGCTCGTCCGTTTAGTGTCGTCTATGACGCCTCGGACTTTGCCATCGGCTGTGCCCTGCTGCAAGCAGACGCCGACGGGCGCGAGCGCGTGGTGGCGTTCGAATCTCGCCAGCTGAAGTGTGGAGTAGCGCCCTCGGAGAAATCTCGCGAATGCGATCTCGCACAAACTCGGCGCGTCTGGATAGCGGTTGCGCCGAGCAAATTATTCCCGGTTGTTGGAGTAGCGTATCTTCGAAATACAGGCCCAAGTCTTCGCTGGCTTCGGAGTTGGGGGGGTTTGCGTTGACGCTTGTTCCTTGTCGTAGGGCGTCGAGCCTTGGGCGTGCGGCGTTATCGGGCCTACACGGGGGGTCTTGTGCACGGCGGTTATCAGGCCGGTGCGGTCCTTCGCCTAGGCAGCGCGTTATCGGGCGCCCACCTAAACGGTATACGTTTAACGTGCCTTTGTTCCAGCACGGGTCTGTGGGGGGGGTGGGGGGGGGGTGAGCACCCGAACCAGCAAACGACGTGGGGCCGCGATATCGAGGCGGTTCTACTTGCCGGCGCTTGGTGGTTCCCCTGGAACCTCGGAGAAGACGGGAGGTCTTTGTGGTTCAGAGAAATTTCGGGACTGAGTCCTTACCCTATCCTATGCCCTAGCTACTGGCTACTCCGTACTACTGCTTGCTAAGCCGATCGTTCTGTGCCTATCCCTACTTCTGTCGTGCTTGCACTGCCGTCCTTCAACCTGATTTGCGTGGCGTAATCAAGATCTTACCTCGACGCGTTTTAGTCGGCGCGTCTTACTCGGCGCGTCTTGCTCGGCGGGGATTAGGGTCGACGCGTTTTGCAGAGACGGGGCGCTGGTCGACTCGTCGGATGATTACGCGTCGAGTTGGACTCTGTCGCTGTGTCTCGCGGCCCATCACCTGCGTCGACTTTCCGTCGACCTCTGCCGCGCGTCGCCCCCATCAATCGCGTCGCGTTTCATCAACTGCGTCGAGTTCATCATCCGCATCCATCAGCATTCGTCTCGGCGCCTTCTTTCACCGACGCCGACGTGCCCGCTTCCTCTCTGGGCACTACACCACAGAAGGCTGCGGAGATGAACTATCCTGTCCATGACAAAGAGCTACTTG